TGTATTTGCTCTCACTGGTTTCAAATAACATTTTTATTTCTGCTTTCATTTTATTATGTACCCAGTAGTCATTCAGGAGCAGGTTGTTCAGTTTCCATGCAGTTGAGTGGTTTTGAGTGAGTTTCTTAATCCTGAGTTCTAGTTTGATTGCACTGTGGTCTGAGAGAGAGTTCATTGTAATTTGTGTTCTTTTACATTTGCTGAGGAGTGCTTTATTTCCAACCATGTGGTCAGTTTTGGAATAAGTGTGATGTGTTGCTGAGAAAAATGTATATTCTGTTGATTTGCGGTGGAGAGTTCTGTAGATGTCTATTAGGCCTGCTTGGTGCAGAGCTGAGTTCAATTCCTGGACATCCTTGTTAACTTTCTGTCTTGTTGCTCTGTCTGATGTTGACAGTGGGGTGTTAAAATTTCCCATTACTACTGTTTGGGAATCTAAGTCTCTTTGTAAGTCTCTAAGGACTTGCTTTATGAATCTGGGTGCTCCTATATTGGGTGCGTATATATTTAGGATAGTTAGCTCTTCTTCTTGAATTGATTCCTTTAGTATTATGTAATGGCCTTCTTTGTTTCTTTTGATCTTTGTTGGTTTAAAGTCTGTTTTATCAGAGACTAAGATTGCAACCTCTGCTTTTTTTCGTTTTCCATTTGCTTGGTAGATCTTCCTCCATCCCTTTATTTTGAGCCTATGTGTGTCTCTGCATGTGAGATGGGTCTCTTGAATACAGGAAACTGATGGGTCTTGACTCTTGTATTCAATTTGCCAGTCTGTGTCTTTTAATTGGAACATTTAGCCCATTTGCATTTAAGGTTAATATTGTTATGTATGAATTTGATCCTGACATTATGATATTAGCTGGTTATTTTGCTCGTTAGTTGATGCAGTATCTTCCTAGTATAGAGGGTCTTTACAATTTGCCATGTTTTTGCAGTGACTGGTACCGGTTGTTCCTTTCCATATTTAATGTTTCCTTCAGGAGCTCTTGTAAGGCAGGCCTGGTGGTGATAGAATCTCTCAGCATGTGTTTGTCTGTAAAGGATTTTATTTCTCCTCCACTTATGAAGCTTAATTTGGCTGAATATGAAATTCTGGGTTGAAAATTCTTTAAGAATGTTGAATATTGGCCCCCACTCTCTTCTGGCTTGGAGAGTTTCTGCTGAGAGATCCACTGTTAGTCTGATGGGTTTCCCTTTGTGGGTAACCTGAACTTTCTCTCTGGCTGCCCTTAACATTTTTTCCTTCATTTCAACTTTGGTGAATCTGGCAATTATGTGTCTTGGAGTTGCTCTTGTTGAGGAGTATCTTTATTGCATTCTCCACAACAGGGATTCTTAAGCCTACCATGAAAGAAAGCTGGGCTTGGGGGATGAGTAGAACATAGTTCAGTGGTAGAAGTTGTCCAGAAGCCAGCATGAATAACACAACTCAAGATAAGAGAATGGTAGACTGGGAGGCTGGATCAGTAAAACAGCAAAGAGACAAACACTAGGTGAAGGAAGTTATTTTAGAAGATGGAGAAAAATGCACACGTGCAAATAAAGTACAATCTATCTTTCAAACACAATGTTGTATTGACACAAATTCTTTCACTAGAAGCAAAAAGAAAGTGTAAGCATGGGGAGGTGGTTGCTGGTTTTCCAGACATTGCAATCACAAATTTTGGGGTCCATTTGGAGCAGGAGTCCCCTACTCCTGGGCTGTGGACAGGTACTGGTCCATAGCCTGTTAGAAACTGGGCCACAGAGCAGGAAGTGAGTGGTGGGTGAGCAAGCATTATCACCGGAGCTACACCTCCTGTTAGATCAGCTGCAGCATCAGAGACCCATAGGAGCAGGAATCCTATTGTGAACTGCGCATGTGAGGGATCTAGGTTGAAAGCTCCTTATGAGAATCCAATGCCTGATGATCTGAAATGGAACTGTTTCATCCCAAAACCATCCGCACCCCCACCCCTCCCCTACCATCTGTGGAAAAATTGTCTTCCACCAAACTAGTCCCTCCAGGCTCTGGTGCCAAAAGGTTGGGGACTGCTGATTTAGAGGACAAGGAAGATTTCTGATGGTAGAGGTAGGAACCAAGATGAACCCACACATAAAATGTGCAGTATTGTTTAAGCAAGGAGTTACGTTCAAAAGTGCATTCCCATTCTAATAAAGGAAAGTTAGGACAACCCAAAAAATGCCTATGCAGCATTCTTATTTATTTTATTTTTATTTTTTAAGACAGTCTCCCTCTGTCACCCAGGCTGCAGTGTAGTGGCACCATCTCAGTTCACTGCAACCTCTGCCTCCCACGTTCAAGCCATTCTCTGCCTCAGCCTCCCGAGTAGCTGAAACTACATGTGCACACCCAGCACACCCAATTAATTTCTGTATTTTTAGTAGGGACGGGGTTTCACCATGTTGGCCAGGTTGGTCTCGAACTCCTGACCTCAAGTGATCTGCCTGCCTCAGCCTCCCAAAGCGTTGGCCTCGGCCTCCCAAAGTGTTGGGATTACAGGCGTGAGCCACTGCGTCCTGTCACCATGTAGCATTCTTAAATAAGGCCCTATATTTTTAATAATATTTATTTGTTTAATATGAAGGAAGAAAAAGTAGAAAAGGTTTTGCAATTTAGTCTGGAATTGTTACACAAGATACAGACTTTATTTCCACGGATTTCTAAAGTCAGATGCTTAAAAAAAAACTCTAATCAAATTTACCCCCACTATATAATATTTACCATTATACCAACCAAACTTATATAATAATTACTCTTGAAAAATAAGTAGACTGTAATATCTAGTCAATTGCAAAATATAATAGATTGCAACCAAATTGTTAACAACAAGAAAAAAAAACTCCCCTAAAGAACTTGAACCTTCATAATAATTTATACAGAATTCTGTTTAACTTAATATACAAGAAAATCTGCGGTGGATAAGGCATTGCTTTATGAACCCTCCATCCTCCCTCAGAGAATAAGGCACACCAATCATTAGCATTATAAATCACAAAACTGTAAGAAAATCTGAAGGCAGCAGATGCCTCATATGCCACAAAGAAAAGCAGGTAACTTTAGGGCACGAACTTTAATAAACTGTGCAAATATGAGATGTATAGTAACTAAATTTTCCTTCTCTAATAAACAGGAATCATTTTAATAGAAGATCAACCTGAAAGAAAAAGGAAAAAGCAAATTTCCTAAAACTTTATTTTGAAAAAAATATACGCTGTCTTTCAGTATCAGGCAGATTAAAAAATTATTTAACTAGTAAAATATTTTAGAATAGTATATAAACAAACTGATAGCAACTAAAGCAATTTTAGTGGTACATTCAGGAATTTACATTTGAAATGACATTACTGGTCATTATTTTTTGTATGAATTCAAATGTTATGGTTATGATCCAAATATCAGTATTTTGTTAATGTTATTTATTAACAAATATTAAATTTACCTATGTTTTTCAAAACAGTTAAAACACAGCACATGAGATTTTAGGCTAGAGATACTAAAAAAATACTAATTCAGTAAACTGTTACTATAGTCAACATGTTTTAATAATTTCCTAAATTAATTTCTGAAATAATAAGCTAGATCTAATGTTACAATGATGTGTCAGAAGTGCTCTGAAGATTTTACCAGCAATCATAACTCATAAAGCATTGTGCAAATTAAATTTCAGTCAGGATCAACATATATGAAAATAAATACATGTTAGCATTAACTATACATTTGTATAGTTAAATGATTGATATCATTTATTTGGCGATTTCACTATTTCAATATCTCAAGAAAATGTGGATCCAAATATAATGTTAACTCTTTACAAATTAGTTACCCTAAATTTGAACTGTTTTTCACTAGGAAATGGACTAAATTCCAGGTATATTTCCAGAAAATGAACAGGATGTTAATCTAACAGAACTACTGGTAACACCAGACAAACAGAAAAAAACAATAAAAACATATTGTGGAATAAATGAAACTCCAATATTGCACTAGAGTTGTCATAGAAGAGAGAAGTAGAATAATAACAAGTATAATTTTTAAAAAAGTTGTACATGCTTCCTGAGAAAGAGGATTCCAGAATTATAATAATTAAATAATATAAACACCTAACTGTGTTTTTAAACATTAACTTTAATGTTGGCTACTCTTAATTATCATCATCTGAGCCATTTGCTTCTCTAAGACTGCTGTGTGGTTACCTCAGACGTCAATACGAACTCCATGTTTTGAAGACATCATTTGTCTGGTTCCTGTTAAATACATAACGAATGAACAGATGTGAGGTAAAGATGATGTGATTATTACATAAAGCCAGAATGGCAAAGGAGAAGTTTTTCCAAATGGGCATATCCACAAACCATGACGAATCCCATCGCGGATATGGTGTGAAGTCCAGGATATAAATAACATCCAAGGAAGAAAGCACCATGAGTCTTTGAGCTTGAAAAGGTGCATAGTAAATTTCAAGGTCAGAACCACAACAGGTATCACAGTAGAACAGTGAAGGAAAGGTCTTCGCGGAAGAGTCAAAGCAGCCTGAGGGAGCAAAGTAATAGTGAGTATCATTGCCCTTCTAGCAAAACAAAATTTTATACATGCTTCTTAATATTTTAAAATATTTTCCAGAGTCTATTGGACATGCAAAAGAAACATGTTCTATGCCACTTCAGAATACATATACCAAAATTATATATATACACACACACACAAACATATATATATATATAAAGACTATAAAAGTGTGAGCAGGATATCCTTTACATTAAAAATAAAATCAAGTTCTCAGGAATATGGTGATTAATTTTTTAAGTGTCCCATTATTTGCTTAGAAAATTTACAATATGAATATAATTTATATCCTAAGTGTATGGTTTGTGTAATTTGAAGTTTTATATAATTATTCATGGTCTTTAAGAGCACTGAAAAAATATCTCACAACCAAATAAAATATTAGTTAATGAAGGCAAAAGAGGGAAATATTTTTGTTATATCCATTTTATATTAGCGATAAACACTTTTGGAATTTATTTACAATATTTAGAAAAACTATATTATTTTAAATACATATTCTAAAATTGAGTTAAATAAACTTCAGTAAATTTTTTTTTTTTTTTTTTTTTTAGATGGAGCCTTGCTCAGTTGCCCAGGCTGGAGTGCAGTGGCGCAGTCTTGGCTCACTGCAATCTCTGCCTCTTGGGTTAAAATTCTTTAGCCTCAGCCTCCTGAGTAGCTGGGATCATAGGCACCTGCCACCATGCCCGGCTAATTTTTGTATTTTTAGTAGAGATGGGGTTTTACCATGTTGGCCAGGCTGGTCTCGAACTCCTGAACTCAGGTGATCCACCCACCTTGGCCTCCCAAAGTGCTGGGATTACAGATGTGAGCCATGACGTCCGGCAAACTTCAGTAAATTTCTAAACCACTACCAAAAAATATACTCAATATCTGAACCAATAAAAATTTCAGGCTTAATCCCTGAATGATTCATGAGTAGGGTTTTGTTCCCACCTGCTTTAAAGACTAATTTGCAGCAAGATAATCCCTAAACAAAAATAAAGCTGAGAATAGTGATGATTGTCTAAATCTGAATCTCTGCACATATCCTCTAAAAATATTTTAAAACATGAAGGACAAATAAAACTACATAAAATCTTAAACCCTCAGCATAAATAAAAGCCAGAGAATGCCCATATTTGAAATTACCCATGAGTATTAAAATAAACACCAGATCAGTGGGTTCTCTCTCAAACACTTCCATCCAAGTCAGGAAAAACTATATTGAAGAGAGAAGAGGGGAAACCTAAGATTGATCTAAAATTATCACTAGGAAGTTCAGTTTAAGCGTGAAAATACTGTTGATCTATAATTATCACTAGGAAGTTCAGTTTAAGTGTGAAAATACTCAAGAGTGTCCTAGTAAGTCAGAGCACTAACTGCAGGGAAAGGACATAAAAAGTGGACCTTCAAGACTCTGAAAGGTATTGATTCTGGGGGAGATGATGGTAAGAAAGGGAGAGACACCCTTTGGAGACTAGATGGTGAAAAGGAAAAGAAGTAGTAAAAGGAAGAAATGTAGTTTCCTGTCCAAAAAACAAACAAACAAAAATCAGACAGTGTTCCCACCACATGAAAAAAAGTTACTCATTAAAGAACCGTACCTTGTCCCACTGTCAAATCAGACCACCCTTGAACAAGGAATTCTATAGACCCTCTCCTCAAACTAGTATTCTTTACCTCTCACCTATGGTCTGAACATCAAAGAGTCTATTTTACACGCCTCTTTCCTTGCCTCCTCCTCCATATTTTGTTTTACTTCTACTTCATCAGAACATGTACCATTTCTGTATTATTATTCTACTTTTGTCTTCACCTTTGTTTTTAAATTCTATATCCACAATATGTTAAGTTCATCATCGGTCCTTTTGCCAACACTGCCTTAACCAAGAATATGTTAGAATAAATAATCATGTAATATCATGAAATAAAGTGATAAAAGAGAACAAATCTGTAAAAAGCTAGTATAGGAGGAAAATAGAAAACAGAATAAAAATATCAGGCCAGGTGGGATGGCTCACGCCTGTAATCCAAGCACTTTGGGAGGCTGAGGCAAGCTGATCACCTGAGGTCAGGAGTTCGAGACCAGCCTGACCAACATGGAGAAACCCTGTCTCTACTAAAAATACAAAATTAGCTGGGCGTGGTGGCATATGCCTGTAATCTCAGCTAATCGGGAGGCTGAGGTAGGAGAATTGCTTGAACCTGGGAAGGGGAGGTTGCAATGAGCTGAGATCACACCATTGCACTCCAGCCTGGGCAACAAGACTGAAACTCCGTCTAAAAAACAACCCCCCCCACATAAAAAAATCTCTTGAACCCTGTTCCTAGTAACAAATACAAAAAAAAAAAAATAATTTTTAAAAAACTACACAAAACATAAGAAAATTGTATCACAAGACTCCAAACTAAATTAAATCTCAAACAACCATATGGGGACATAAAAAAAAATCTTGAATCAGAAGTTCAAAAATGGAAAAAAAAAAAAGATTTAAAAAAAGATAATAATTGATTAAACTCAGTATGGAAAAAAACAAAAACAATCTAATAAATGACTATATTGTAATGTGTCCAAGGGAGAATAGGTCAAATGAAAGTTTAATAAGGTGCATTGAAAAAATTAATACAAAAATTAGTTGGGTATGGTGATGCATGCCACCATATCCCAGCTACTCAGGAGGCTGAGGCATGAGAATCCCCTGAACATAGGAGGCAGAGGTTGCAGTGAGCTGAGATTGCACCACTGCACTCCAAACTGGGCAACAGAGCAAGACTCTGTCTCAAGAAAGAAAAGAAAAGAAAAAAAATGCAGGAAACTAACCAAGAAAATAAAAATAGTATGAGGAAAAGAGTAAAAACAGTCAGGTAGAAAATGGCTGAAATAGAATACAGGCAAAAAGAAACAACATATGTATAATTGAAGTCCCTAAAGAAAAACAAAGGAATAGAATGGAACCAGTATTTAAAGCTATGATCTAAGAAAACTAAAAATAAAAATGTGAATCAATTACAAGAGCCCATCTTAAAAAACTGACTCGATAAGCTTCAAGACAATTTAGTAGAGCTGTTACTGTAATAATGATAAAAGAACAGTTTTTAAGGCCTCCACGCAAAAGGTAAAATAACTTGCAAAGGCAATAGTATTACACTGGCATCAGATTTCTCCCCCCAACAAAAGCACTTTTATGTACTATAGTAATAAAGGTTTAGTTTATAATCCATATTAGTAAAATATAAATCATAGAACTGATTGGAAAGACTGGCGACACTTTTAATAGGAAGTACAACATTTTCAATAGGATGGGATTAAGGAGCCTATGGTAATCACTACTTGCAAGAAAGCAATAACCTGATGTTGAGTTATGTTCTGGATATATTCACAGCCATACTGATTCTTTACATTCTTATTTGTGAATTAACATCTATTTATATTAATAGCTGCTAAAAAAGAAACTGGAAATTCTTATTGTTTGCTGATTTCTAAAATATCAATGTAGCTTTTTTTTTTTTTTAGACAGAGACCTGTGCTGTCTCAAAGCCCAGGCTGGCGTATAGTGGCACAATCTTAGCTCACTGTAATCTCAAACTCCTGGGCTCAAGTGCTCCTCTTGCCTCAGCCTCCTGATTAGGTGGAACTATAGGCATACATCACCATGCCTGGCTAGTTTTTTTTATTTTTTGTAGAGATGGAGTCTTACTCTGTTGCCCAAGCTGCTCTTCAACTGCTGACCTCAAGCGATCCTCCCATCTTAGCCTCCCAGTGTTGGGGTTATAGGCATGAGCCACTGTGCCTGGCCTTTGATTTTTTTATTAATAGAAAAATGATGAATAATGAAAGAAAATGGAATTATCATGGAATCACAGAAGTAAAAATAGATCACTGCCATGAATACTTATTCAGGTTTGATATTTATTACTGATAATCACATACCACCTTATGGTGAATGTAAAATATTTTAATACTTAATTCAAAAATAATGATTAATACTAGCACTATGCTGTACTTTATGTGCACTATCTCATTTGATCCTTATAACAACTCTATATGGTAGGTAGCATTTTACAGCAGAGGAGACTGAGGTAGTGAGGCTAGTCACTTCTCCCATACTGTGCAGTTAATGAGTGACATAGCTGGGATTTGATCCTGGTTCTGTCTAACTCTATAGCTCATATTCTTAACAATAGTGCTTCTAAGTGAATTAAAGGATAAATATGCTATGCAGCCCAAATGCTTTTAAAAATTATAAAAGAATAAATTCTAGATGAATACATTTATGAATCACATATTTTATAATGCTTCATAACTTATCCCAATCTCTAACATTTATTGTTTTTTCCTTTTTTTTTTTTTTTTTCTGAGACAGAGTTTCGCTCTTTTTGCCCAGGCTGGAGTGCAATGGCATGATCTCAGCTCATTGCAACCTACGCCTCCCAGGTTCAAGCAATTCTCTGGCCTCAACCTCCCAAGTAGCTGGGATTACAGGCACCTGCCACTACGCCTGGCTAATTTTTTTTGTATTTTTAGTAGAGACAGGATTTCACCTTGTTGGCCAGGATGGTCTTGATCTCTTGACCTCGTGATCCGCCCGCCTCAGCCTCCCAAAGTGCTGGGATTACAGGCGTGAGCCACCACGCCTGGACCATTTACTGTTAATATTTACCAGGCCATGTCACTTATCATGCTTACTTAAGCCTCACAACAACCCCACAAGGTAAGTAATGTTATAATACACATATTACAGATGAAGAAGTTAAAACTTAAAGAAGAAAAGGGAACTTAATTAAACTGAAGAGCTTCTGTACAGCAAAGGAAATAATCAACAGAGTAAACAGACAACCTACAGGATGGGAGAAAATAGGGTTCTTTTGGCAAAGGGCTCATATCCAGAATCTACAAGGAACTCAAACAACTCAACAAGAAAAAACAACTCCATCAAAAAGTGGGCAAAGGACATGAACAGACATTTTTCAAAAGAAGACAAATAAGCAGCCAACAAACATGAAAAAACGTTCCATATCACTAATAATCAGAGAAATGCAAATTAAAACCACAATGAGATGCCATCACATATCATCAGAATGGCTATTAACAAAAAGTCAAAAACCAACAGATGTTGGCAAGGATGCAGAGAAAAGGGAACACTTATACATTGTTGGTGGGAATCTAAATTACTGAAAACAGTATGAGATTTCTCAAAGAACTAAAAGTAGAACTACCTTTTGATCCAGCAATCCCACTACTGAATATCTTCCAAAAGGAAAATAAGTTATTATATAAAATAAATCATTGCCAGGCACACTGGCTCATGCCTGTAATCCCGGCACTTTGGGAGGTTGAGGCAGGAGGATCACTTGAGCCCAAGAGTTTGAGACCAGACTGGGCAACATAGGGAGACCCTGCCTCTACAAATAATTTTTTAAAAATTAGCCTGGCACGGTGGCATGTGAACTATGGCCCCAGATACTCAGGAGGCTGAGGTGGGAGAATCGCCTGAGCCCAAGAGGTTGATGCTGCAGTGAGCCGTGATCACACCACTGCACTCCAGCCTGGGCATCACAGCAAGACCCTATCTCAAAAAAAAAAAAAAGAAATCATTATATAAAAAATGTATGCACTTGTATGATTATCACAGCACTATATACAATAGCAAAGTCATGGAATTAACCTAAGTGTTCATCAGTGGATGACTGGATTAAAATGTGATATATAATCACACCATGGAACACTACTTGCCCATACAAAAATCATAAAATCGTGTCTGATTTTATGGATGGAACTGGAGGCCATTATCCTTAGTGAAATGACGCAGAAACAGCAAGTAAAAAACCACGTGTTCTCACTTGTAAGCGAGAGCTAAACAACGGGTACACATGGACATACAGAGTAGAATAATAGACATTGGAGGGAATACTACTTGGCCATACAAAATAATAAAATCATGTCTTTTACAGCAACATGGATGGAACTGGAGGACATTATCCTTTAGTGAAATGATGCAGAAATAGTAAGTTAAAAAACCACAAGTTCTCACTTGTAAGCGAGAGCTAAACAACGGGTACACATGGACATACAGAGTGGAATAATAGACACTGAAGACTCCAAGAGGTGGGAGGGTGAGAAGAGGTGAGAGATAAAATACTATTTGTATAGCATTAGAGTGATGGGTACACTAAAAGCTCAGACTTTGCCACTATGCTATACATACATGTTATACAACTGTGCTTGTGGCCCTAAATCCACAAAAATTTAAAATAAAACTAAAAAAAAGGAAAGTACTCTGCTAACACCAAAAAACCAGGATTCAAACTCAAGTCTTCTTATTTCAATATTAAACAAAATGATATGTTAACTCTACTTATAGCACAAAAGTTTGTCTTTAATTAGCAATTACTGATTCTTTACTGATTAAATTTCTAAATAAGTGAAACAATTTCTGAGAAATACGTGGTACCCGACATATAATAGGAAAAAGTGAATATTTCTCATCCACTTTTCTCATATTTCCTGAAAATCTACTAGGTAAGTCAGGCACTGTTCTAGGCCAGGGGTGAATGAAACAGAAAGTCTTTGCTCTATGAGTTTAGATTTCTTTCCTGAAATGTTTATAGATCATAAACACATAAAATGTAGGCAAACCTTCTGACATTTAGAAAACATTATCTGAACCAACATTTTAAGTTTAGTTCATTTGTGAGCTATATAACTAAACTTCTGAATGCCTCAATGAAATTCCTCAATTTCTCCACAAGGGACTGTGTTCTAGCCAGTCCAATTGAAATACACGCCTTTGGCCTCAAAAGGGACTGGGGGAATTAATCTGTTCAAGTCATTCCTCAGGACTGGGAATCATCTTAAAGCTATTCAACTTTTATGGAGTACTTAGGAGCTGCATACTAACTGTAAAACATAAAGAATAAGGGGGAAATATTAAGTGTGCTCCTGAAGAAAGTACACTGATACAAAAAGAACTAGGACAGCCTTGAGAATGACCCCTGTTAATTTAAGCCGGTTTGCTAATACTTTCTTCAAGACCTGGCTAAACACATCCTCTGTAAGCCATCCCTGAACTCTTTAGGTACATACAGTTCATGGGTCTTTGCTCTATGTGAATCCATAGCAGTTTGTGATGGCAAATAATTTGATTAGCAACGTATTTGTGTGCATCTTTAGGGAAGTACTAAGTGATCAAAAAGGTTAAATGAATGTGTTTCCTATTTTAAGACAAATCCTCTCTAGTTCTAAATGATGCTGTAAAGATTAGCAAAATAGTGCTAAGGAAATTAAAGACCAGAAAAACTAAGCCTATGCTTTTTACCTTTAAAGACATGGATCCAGCTAGAAAAAAGTGGTCTACATCAATAACAGAGGCTAAAAATCCAGCTAAAATGATTTCTCCGAAGTCAGTCTTCTTCTTGATTCCAATGACTACTGCCCATGACCACATGCCAATTACACAATGTACGGCATTATCTGAGACAGCACGAAGCCAGTCATTTTGCTGAATTGTAGAAAACTGAAGAAGTCTGTCAGCTACGAGGCAAAATACCCCCAGACCAAGGCTGGAAATAAGAGATTCAGTGCTACAAGTCTGCAGTAAAGCATGGGTCTTTTCAGTCTCGGATGCCATGACAAACAATATGTTAGTATAGACTAAAAGCCATCAGGAATGAACAGTCTATTCTTGTTTACATTTCCAGCACCCTAAAGGAGAAAGCAGAGAAAAATATGAATGAAGATTATGGACTGCCATATAATATTTAAACAAAACAGTATCAGCAATAATTTCTCACATATAAGACCAAGATGTAAATACTGGCAACTTTTACATGTTATATATAATATGCCGCATAGCCTAAGGAGAATAGATTAGTTGTTTCTTTTTTTTTTTAGGAAAAACAGGGTACATGGTATATATCAAGGAGAATTTCAGAAAGCCCACCAACTGCAATCTATTGCTTTAAGTCATCAAATAGTTCTCTCTCTCAGCTGTGTGTAGTACATGGTAGTGAATATCCATTGGGTTTGTGTACCCAACAACTACTTTCCGTACTTCTGACAACAGTAATCCCTTCCTTTGGGAAAACTTTCTCACATTAAACTCCAGAGCTCACCAATTAGAGTTTTCCATTTCCCTAATAATGGTGACTAATTTAGCAATGAAAGTGGCCCAGGCTGAGCTAATCAGATTCCTTTCCAAAATTTTTCTTAGTGGAGCTGGTAGAGAAAGTTCCTCTTCTTGGAGACCATGGACTCCACTACATGAAATAGCCTAGGAAAATAAAATCCCAGAGAGACACAAAGGAGAAAGACTAATAGAATCATGAAGACAGTGAGTACTTACGTTGAATGTCTAAAGGTTCTCAGAGCTACCCTGGATCTTGCAGCTCACCCTCCACTTTGATGAGCTACCCCAGCATTTTCCCAATAAATCCCCATTTCATTTCTGTTGCCTTGAACCAAATAACCTTAACTCATATAAAAATGCAATCATAATTCTATGCTGAGTTCTCACGTGGCACAGAATATTGACATTATTTACCTAGCTAGAAAATATCTGTCTACCTAAAGTGTGACACATGAAGTTTTTTCTTTTACAATGTTTTGTTTTAATCCTGAGACTAAAGAATAACTGATTTATTCATAATGAATCAACTTCTGTTCTGCAATAAAAACTATGCATAGCTCATTATATATATTCTAAAACTGCAGAGGACCTAGAAGAATTAAACAAGTTTGGAAAACAGAAACTAAGTTGGAGGACTACTAATACCATCTTATTTTAAGTTTTATTATAAAGCTACAGTAGGCTGGGCACAGTGGCTTACACCTGTAATCCCAACACTTTAGGAGGCTGAGGTAGGAGGATCGCTTGAGGCCAGGAGCTCGAGACCAACCTGGGCAACATAGGGAGACACTGTTTCTACAAATAATAAAAAATTAGCCAGGCGTGGTGGCACATGGCTGTAGTCCCAGCTACTTGAGAGGCTGAGGTGGGAGGATCGCTTAAGCCCTGGAGGTTGAGGGTGCAGCGGGCTGTAATCGTGCTACCGCATGCCAGCCTGGGCAATACAGAGACCCTGTCTCCAAAAAAAAAAAAAAAAAAAAAAAGCACAGTAATCAAAACAGTGTAGTACTGGTATAGTGACAAACATACAGACTAACAAAACAAAATACAGAGTGGGATCAGAAATAGAACCAAACATACCTAGTCAATTTTATTTTATTTTTTTTGAGATGGAGTCTCACTCTGCCACCCAGGCTGGAGTGCAGTGGTGTGATCTTGGCTCGCTGCAACCTCCGCCTCCTGGGTTCAAGCAATTCTCCTGCCTCAGCCTCCCAAGTAGCTGGGATTACAGGTGCCCACCACCATGCCTGGCTAATTTTTTTTTTTTAGAAGGAGATGGGTTTTACCATGTTGGCCAGGCTGGTTTCGAACTTCTGACCTCAAGTGATCCACCCACCTCAGCCTCTCAAAGAGCTGGGATTACAGGCATGAGCCACTGTGCCTGGCCAATTTTTTAAATTTGAGACAGAGCCTCACTGGAGTGTAGTGGCACAGTCATGGCTCACTGTACCCTTTACTTCCCAGGTTTGAAAGGTCCTCCTACCTCAGTCTCTTGAGTAGCTGCAGCCACAGATGTGTGTCACCATGCCTTTTTTTTTTTTTTTTTCAAAGAGACAAGGTCTCCCTATCTCTAGAGAGGCCTCAAACTCCTAGCTGGTCTGGAACTCCTGGCCTCAAGTGATCCTTGGCTTCCCAAAGTGCTGGGATTACAGGCATGAGCCACCAAGCCCAGCCTGGTCAAATAATTTTTGATAAAGGTGTAAAGATAAATCAGTGGAGGAAGAATATTCTTTTCAACAAATGGTACAAGAACAAATGGATATCCATATGCAAAAATCATAAAGCTGAATCCATATCTTACTCCACATACAAAAATTATCTCAAAATGAATCACAAACCTAAATGTAAATAAAACATAAAAAGATACAATTTCTGGAAAAAAACCATAAAGTATTTTTGTCTCCTTGGGTCACACAAAGAGTTATCAGATACAATACCAAAATCTTGATCCACTAAAAAATTGGTAAGTTGAACTTTATCAAAATTAAAAGCTTCTGGTCTTTGAAAGACAATGTTAAGAGAAAGAGAAAACAATTTTTAAATCTTATATCTGATAAAGGACTTATATCCAGAATATATAAAGAGCTCTCAAAACAGAGTAATAAAAAAAAGACAATACAAAAATGGACAAAAGATGTGAAAATGGGTACTTTACCATGTGTGATATACAGATAGACAATAAGAATAAGAAATATGTTCATCACCATTAATTATTAGGGAAATACAAATTTAAAAACTGAGATATCAAACACACCTGTTAAGATGACTAAAATTAAAGACTGACAATCCCAGATATTGACAAAGATGTGGAACAACCAAAACTCATACACTGCTGGTCGGAATGAAAAATAGTGTAACTATTTTGGAAAAACAATTTTCCAATTTCTCAGAAAGTTAAACGTACTCTGACCATATAACCCAGTCATTCCACTTCTAGATATTTTCCCAAAGCATATGTGTACACACAGGCTTACATATGAATGTTCATAGCAGCTTTATCTGAATTTGTTCCAAGTTGGAAACACTCAAATGTCCCTAAACATGTGAATATACAAAAGGTAGAACAAAAAGGAACAAACACATGATACACATAAAAACATGAATGAATCCTGAAATAATTATAGTAAGTGAAAGTCGTCAAACAAAAAGTACACAGTTAAAACCCAGAGAACTGTGCAACACAAAGGATGTACCCTAATGTAAAGTATGGACTTTAGTCAATAATAACATATCAATATTGGTTCACTACTTGTATCAAATATACCACACTATTGCAAATGTTAATAATGGGGAAAATGTATGCAGGGCAAAGGGCATCTATAAGAATTCATTATAATATTGGCTCAATTTTTCTGTAAACCTAAAACTGCTGTTCAGGTTTATGTATTAGTTTGTTCTTGCATAGAACTACCTGAGACTGGGTAATTTACAAAGAAAAGAGGCTTAATTCGCTTACGGTTCTGCAGGCTGTACAGGAAGCATGGCTGAGGACGCCTCAGGAAACTTATAATCATGGCGGAAGGTAGAGGAAGGAGTCACGTCTTACATGGCCAGAGTAGAAGAGTGAAGTGGAAGGTGCTACACACTTTAAACAGCCAGATCTCGTGAGAACTCACTCACTATCATGATAACAGCTAGGGGGAAATCTGCCCCCATGAACCAGTCACCTCCCACCAGGCCCCTCCTCCAACACTGGGGATTACAACTTGACATAGGATTTGGGTGAGGACACAAATCCAAACCATATCAGTTTATAAAGTCTATTAATTAGAAAAACTTACAAAAACTTAAAAATAAAGCCAATTTACTTTTAAAAATTAGATACATGAACCACCAAAACAATATTATAAATGTAGGTAATAGATGTACTGTAGTTCATTATATTGTTCTCTATTTTTCTGTATGTTTGAAATTTTCATTTAGAAATTTTTTAATTAAATTTATTTATTTTGAGGACAGGGTCTCACTGTGTTGCCCAGACTGGAGTGCAGTGGCTTGATCTTGGCTCACTGCAACCTCGACCTCCTAGGCTCAGGTGATCCTCCTGCCTCACCTCCTGAGTAGCTGGGACTACAGGCATGAGCCATCACGCCAGCTACATGTTTCCATTTGTATTTATTTAATTTAAAAAATTCTTTCTTTCTTTATTTTTCGAGACAGTGTCTTGCTCTGTTGTCCAGGCTGGAGTACAGTGGTGTGAATATGGCTCACTGGAGCCTCTATGCCCTGGGCTCATGAGATCACCCTGCCTTAGCCTCCTGAGTAGCTGGAACCACAGCCACAGGCCACCATGCCTGGCTAAATATTAGATTTTTTTGTAGAGATGGGATTTCACCATGTTGCTCAGGCTGGTCTGGAACACCTGGCCTCAAGCAATCTTCCCACCTTAGCCTCCCAAAGTGCTGGGATTACAGGCGTGAGTCACTGAACCTGGCCTAGAAATATGTTTTTAAAAAGAGTACATAGTATAATTCTACTTACTTAAAATTCTACAAAATACAAACTAATTTATAGTGACAGAAAGCAGATCCATGGTTTCCTAAAGACAGTAGAGGCAGGAATGATTAAAAAGGAGCATCAGGAAACTTTGGTAAGGGACACATATGTTCATTATCTTGACTGTGGTGATAGTTTCATGGTTCACAGTTTCATACATATGTCAAAACATATCAAACTATATATTTTAAACATATACAGTTCATTACATGTCAATTATACTCCAACAAAAATGTTAAAAAGTTAAGAACGTACATTGATTATAAAACAGCAGGTTTTTGTTTAAAAAGGAGAAATATGAAAACAAGAAACTATGGAAATGAAGAAGTTGATTATCCAAATAAAAACTCAGTGCAAAGTCTACTATACACTGAAGCAATGCATAGTGGCATGAATCTTTCAAACATCAAAATTAGTAAATGAGAACATTTGCAAAGAATTTTTCCAAAGCTTAAGGGGAAAATATAAGACAAAGAGTTGGGCATTGAAAAAAAATTTCCAAAAATAAAGAGAAAAGCTTTAGAGTTTCAATGTCAAAAAAAAAAAAAAAAAAAAGGAAAAGTTATCTTCAAAAGAAAGA